GGTTGCCGGGGTAAGTACCTGATGTGTGGTTTTCTGCGGTGAATGTCCGAGACATCGCTCTTACATTTGTGAGTGCACACCTTAGGAGTATCTGTTTCGTGTTCTAAGTATTCGCTGGCTGGACTAGACCAAAAATTCGCCCATTGCGCCCATTTACAGCGATATCGAGTACACCTATAATGCAATGAATCAATGACTGCCACAGACATTTTGAAATTCTCTATATAGGTATACAGAGTATCAGTGTATTGCTATTTTATTAAAATGTTTTCTGAATGTATGTACATAACTGGACGTACCGAATTGAGCGAGGAAAAGCACATGGCCTTATTTCTGATCACTCAGAAGGAGTGAAAATCTGAACTGAAATTTCAGAACTACGATTTACTTTTCAGAATACAATTCAGGCCTCGGCTTTACGTGTACCCCGATCCTAGTTCTAAGTGGCAACAACAGATGACTCAGTGTCGTTCATTCGAATCTCTATACATCACACTCTTCATATGAGAAAGAATTCAGGTCCCACCCAACTTCCACAGCGCGGGAAATCTTTTGGGGGTGTCGGCACATCGTTGGGTCCTCCCACGTGAAATATAACGTCGAATCCATTTTCCCAGTTCGAGACGTGCTGATCGTGTAGCAGCCAATATCCTGTATTGTCTGGCACTAACTTCGCCAACAAGCGGCGGTCGCTCAGTCAGTACAATTCGCTTGCGGACTACAGGCCAGGGAGTTATCAGCGGTTACGTAAGAGGTTGCACAAGTTTTACGCTAAGTGTTACTTACGGTTTCATTCCATCGGACTTATCATCAGTGGGTGACGCCATAAGCTGCCAGCTTGCCTATAATATTGCATCATCCACTAAACAGTGGAACTGAATGAGCCGTATAGCTCACATTCATTAACGTAATTCACTCGCAATATGTGCAGACTCTTCAGCATGCTTCGCTGTGCACATTTCCATGGTAACGAGGTCAACAATAGAACTTCAGTTACTTAGCAGCTGAGGTACCAATAAGTACAAATTGTTACATATTCTGTTATGGAAAATTGTTACATTTTCACCATCGTATAATGTTTTCAACGTTAAAATGAAGTCAATTGGACTGGCACACGTACTACAGCCATCAAGTATGTCAGTAGACTGACGAGTCGAAAATTATAACTTGTTTTTAGAAATTAGAGTATTTGAGAAAGACTTCATGAGGAGAATATTTGGACCTAGTAGAGAGGAAGTAACATGAGGATGTAGAAAACAACAAAACGGGGGGACATAATTTTTACTCTTCAGTAAATGTCATTAGATTCATCAAATCAAAATATGGGAAACAACTGGCACGGATGGGTGTCATAGTAACAATTTAAAGCATAATTTTAGAAGTGATGCAGAAGTTTAGTTTTAAATTTATACGAAATTATGACTGCTCCTAATAATCACAATTGCTGTAATGTGACAACGTTGCAGCTGAAACATTTATTATTAGTTTGGGTCTTGTTTTCGCTTTCGGTGTTGTTCAAGCGATTACAAGGAAGAAATGTAAATGGTGGAAGAAGGAGACAGTATCAGAAGTGAAGGCTCGTGCACGGCTTACGTTTCGATCATTAAGGACGCTAGAACATTGTCAGGCAAGCAAGAGTCTCCGCTGCAGAGTTGTTGCTGTCATTCAAAGCAACACAATGCTTGTCTTATCATACTTCCCGTTACTTTAGCCCCTACATAACTGTTTTTTCTTTCAAATTCGCTCTTTACGCGTGGAAGGAAGCTGTCATAGCGTTTGTTACAGAAATCGAGGGCAACCACGATAGTTTCAGTTATCAGATTTGTCTTGTCGAATACGCGGTCATCTAAATGCGACAAATAGTGACCACGAACTCTACGAAGGGTCTTCCGTGCTGAACGGAGATAGTCTTCCTTAATAAAATACAAGTCTCTCCGATACAAAGATTAAATCGATTATGGTAATATTGTCATTTTCAGGTCTCTTATTTTGTGATGAGACTGGCTGAAACCTGTGTGAAGCATGGACGGTTACTTTGAGGGAACAATATTAAAATGTGTTTGAAAATAAAATGAACAGAACAATATTTGGACGTAAGAAGAATTACGTAAGTAGGACGTGGGGTAACATAACGAGAAATTCCCTGATTTATGCAACCCCCCAAATGTATATATATATATATTCCTATCACTACAGCCCCAGTGGGCCTAGGCCTACCTCCATGAACTTCTCCGTTCACTTCGGTTTTTCTAGATCTTACACACACGGTAGGACTCCTTGGGCGAGTGATCAGCTCGTCGCAAGGCCTCTACCTGTAGACAAACACAGAAAAACGCACACAAACATCCATGCCCTGAGTGGGATTCGAACCCACGATCTCGGCTTCCGAGCGAGCGAAGACAGTGCATGCCTTAGACCGCTCAGCTACCGTGACCGGCCCCAAATATATTTAAGATAATAAAATACTGCATAACACCTTGTTTTAAGTAGATTCTAAAGGGTTCTGACGATGATGGATGACACACAGAATTACTTGGTTCTTGGACTTGTCTCACATGAAGATGGAAATAGATCCAGTTTCCGAAACGTCGTGTGCTCTATTACCTAGAGTGTCCTCTTACCTAGAATTCTGGACGATGGAAAAAGTCCAAAAACCCAGTAATTCTGTGTACCTTGTATTAAGTTCTCAAAAAGACAAAGTTCTTGGAAACTACCACAACCAGTACAGTAATGTAGTCTTCATAGCTGTGGTCACTTTTCCCTATTCCAGAAGTAGGCTGTGACTTCTCTGTCCTGCATTTGCGCGACGGCCAAGTATCAGGAATCGCATCAGAACTTGGATATTTGTGACGTTTCTGTTTCTCAGTGACAATTCAAGTTCATTAAAACGTGGCTCTGAGACCATGGGTTGAAAAGTTGCCGGTGTATTTCAAGCTGTCTAGACGTGTCAG